GTTATAAAATGGATAAAATTTAATTGTTAAATCTGTCTGCGATTTCCATTTATTTTTCATTTTACATTGCCTTGTATTTTCGGTGACGATACATATATTTTTATATTTAAAATTTGAGTTTCGGATATAAAGTGGTTATATTTGTTGGTTATCATGCACTCATATTGAAACAAAATTTGAGTTTTCGTACTGTACTGTTTACTGTATACTTTACACTTTATTACGTAATATTATTATATAATATTACTTATTTGCTTAATAAATTTAAAAAAGAAGATATCCATATGCATGAATAGAGAAATTTTTGTGAAAAAGAGGAATTTCAGCGAATTGCCTTATCATCACATGGCAGCGCTCCATTTCGTCGTAATTTTTAGTAAAAATTAGGTTCAAACGAGAGTAAAATGTAATTTTTAAAATAAAGWTTTTTTAGGTAATAAACCTACAAAAAGTGTAAAATGCGGATTTATTTAAAAGTTTATAGTGTAAATTAATTAATTTAAAGTGAAAAATGTGAATAAAGTGTTTAAAGTGGTGAAATAGCCACTTCAAATGTCCGAATTTTGCGAATTTTTGAAATTTGAGGTCGAATATCTCCTAAACTAAGCGTTTGCGGTACCTATAACCCTATTGATATCAGGAGAACGTCCTCTTTCCAACGGTACCTTCAAATCCCGGCGCCAAAGAAATCGGAATTGTGCCAAAGGCCGCCCACGCAAATATGAGTTCTACGCGAAAAAAATTTGGTACACCCCGGTGTTGGACCGACCAGAGTTATTTTTTTTGAAGCGCGGCCGAAGGCCGCCCACGCAAAAAGGAGTTCTGTGCGAAAAAAATTTGGTGGACCGACCAGAGTTATTTTATATAACTTTAAAAAATTTAAGTGAAAAATTAATTTTAAATACCAGAAATATGTAATTAAAATATTGCAAAATTTCAACTTTAATCGCGAATATCTCGAGAACTATAAGCTTCCTGCGGCTATAACCATATATATTCGTGATCTGGAGAATCTCCTCTATCCGACCATACCCATTTTATTCTCGAAATCCTGGGACGGTATACTAAAGTCTTCCGCTTTAAATGCAAATATTTCAAAGACCATAAGTCACCGGCAACTATATATTTTTTTGATATGAAGGACCTTCTCTATCCGTACATACCCATTTTAACCCCAAAATGGGGGATGCCATTCTAAATCCCAGTTGAAACACGCATTTTATCTGGAGGACCTTCTATATCCCTACATACTCATTTTTACCGCGAAATCGAGGAATGCTAGTGTATAAATTGCAGCCCTTTTGCGTGTTGTTTTATAGTAAACACACGTTCTTTAATCCTCACATTTGCTCCTACGTAGTACTCAAAGCACAGGAAATCTGAGAAGAATCACCCAGTTTAACAATTGCATTTATCTCTAGTTTACTTAAAGTAACAGAAATAGTTGACGAACTTTTGATATGCTTATCTATTTCCTTTTCAACAATTTACGTGCGAAAATTAGTACACAATATTACTATTTGCTTACAGAGTAGAAACTTCTTTAATCCACTGTTTTGTATGGCTCATATGTATGGTTAGGGTATAAAAATCCGGTAATTATATATGTTAAACAATATGACGCCGGCAACGATCAATAAAATTTTACTTAAAGAAACGACGCGACGATGTACTTCATTGTAACAGCAATAATAGGATAATAATCCCCTAAAATGAAATAAGGCGACACATCACAATTTGAGTATTTTTTTTTTTTTATAGTAAACACATCATTATTATATCGCTCGTTTATTGGGAAATATGCGGTGAATTATTGAGTGAAGAAAAACAAATCTGCCTCAAAGCGTAACAAAAAACACAAAAAAAAACACGAACTATCAGCTTTTCGGATCAAGTACAGTAGAAAACACTTCGTATAAATATGGCGGCAACATGTGGACTCTATTATAATTCATCACACATAACATTGTTGCCAGAATCAAATCTTTCACTATAGCATTATGCCATGGTTACAATAATTATGACAATTCTGGAGAGAAATAATCATTTTGGCTAGCAATATTGCGGAATTGCACGATATGCAATACTATACCAATTTATGCAAGAGCCTTAAGCCGGAATTACATGTGCAGAATTCTGCGTGCAGAAATAAATTTGTACTGATTTGACAGTTCAAATTCTGCACCTCAATACAGATCCGCACGGCATGTGAAATTTGAATTTCTCTGCGCAGAGGCAGTGCTGACAACATTCAAATAATTAATTTTTGAGCAAAGTCCGGCAACATTTTAAATTGCGCTCAGCTGTTCAGTGAAAATAAACAAAAGTGATAAAAAAAATGGAAGAACAATTGATTGAGTTTGTGAGCGAAAACCGGTTTCTCTATGACAAAAGTCATAGGAACTATAAAAATAGCTACCCGAGGGACGCCAAATTTCAGGAGTTATCGGATAAATTACATATTCCACGTAAATCTTCAATTTTATAACCTAACAGAAAATTTTTATTTATTCATGTTTTGAATGCTTTTAGGTGAGAAACTAAAGGCCCGTTGGCGGACCCTACGGGATAAATTTTACAAAGATATAAAAAAGAGACCATCAGGAAGCGGCGTGTATTCGCCACACAAAAAGTGGAAGTGGATGGAGAGCTTAAAATTTTTAAAGGACGTTGAAATGGACAACATGAAGTAGGTTTTGTATAATCTTGTTTTATTTGTATAATTGTATTATTTATTATATATGCATTTTCAGAACACAAGGTAATTATGGCACCGTAACGACTGAAGGTGACGACTCCTTTCTCAGCGACTTCTGTGAATCCGCCTGTAGCAGTGTTAATCTAAATATTTTTCCTCAATCACTGCAGACACAGACACAGACACAGACGCAGACACAGACACAGTTTTTGTTATTTCAGCGCAAACATTTTTGAGGAATACAAATCTATACAGGTTACGTAGAACCGACATATTTCTTTTATAATACATTTATTGAATTATTTACTTATTTATTAAAGAAGAGATAATTTTTAAGAAGATCTCGGATATCAAAAGCACTTCGTCTTGCGTTAGCGCTTGATAATATCGTACTCTGATGTAATGGCGCTACAAATCGTCTCCACTGCCCTTCAATTAGAATGCCACTTTCATTTACGTGGTCAACGAAGTTGTTGGGACAATATAATTCGGCATTATGGAACTTTACAAAATTATGTAAAATTAATGTAGCTCTAACTATGGTATTGGCATTTTCGGGAAACATATCCAAAGAATTATTGAGAACTCGCCATCTAGCCACTAAAATGCCAAAAGTATTTTCAATTGTAACCCGCGCTCTGGATGAACATTTATTGAAGTGGTCTTTGTTTGCTTCCAAACACTTTCCCGGATATGGCCTCATCAAATGTTTTGTCAACGGAAAAGCAGCATCTCCCACATAATAAAATGGGAATTTTATCGCACTACGTGGAAGATTTTCTGCTTCTGGTAGGTTCATTGTTCCATTTAATATTCTATTTCCAAAACCACTGATTTTTAACACTCCGCCATCACTTTGGCTTCCGTAAGCTCCAATGTCTACTGCGGTGAATGTATATTTGCTATCACAAACGGCCAACAACAAAATACTAAAATATTGCTTATAATTAAAATACAGTGATCCGGATTTTCGCGGACACTTGATTTGGACATGTTTGCCGTCAACAGCTCCTACAACACGAGGCATTCCTGTCTTGATGTAAAATGAATCGGCTATTTCCCTCCACTCATGTTCATTTGGTTGCGCCAAGTATATTCCTGAAAGTTCATCCCAAATGGCTGCGGATGTTTCCAATAAAATTTTGCCAATTGTTGATACTCCTACACGAAAAGCCCAAGCCAACATCTGGCGGCAAWCTCCATGGGCCAAATATCTATTGTAAGAGTTGATGAACATATGTATTTATTTATTATAAAATTTACAAACAAAATGTACTTACACTAATGCTATTGCCAGGAGACATTCTGCTGGTATTGGACGACGTATATGAAACTGTTTTGCTATACGCCTTTTAATTAAGCTTAGAAGAAGTTTAAATTGATCCACTTGCATCCGAGTAGCCCTTTGGAACTGAGAGGAATCATTGTTTTTTATATAGATGAATAAATTATTGAAAAAACCATGCAGCTCTCTCTCATTTTCCGCATATATAGGAATCGTCCACACCCGTGTTTTTTTATCACTTATCGCGCACAAGCTTAAAATATTAATTAATTTCTTGTTGGCAACTAGAAGTAAAAGCAATTGTTGCAATCTTTTTTTTCTTTCCACTTCCATTTTACAATTTTTAAATTTCAAATTCAATTATTTATTGCAATCAGCTGATTGTCAAAATTTACTGCACATGTGTTTTGGCTGGAAAAAATAGTGCAGATCTGCATGCAGAATATCTGTACATGTAATTCCGGCATTACAATACCTAATTTGACAGGGATTTCGAATGGCATCCTCAATTAAAATAACCCGGGTCAGTTGTTTCGCGTAGAGCTCCTTTTTGTGTTGAAAGCCTTCGGCACTCTTGAGAAAATAACTCTGATCGATCAAGAAAAAGGAAGATTAGCGCCATATATACAGATATATACTATGTAGAGCGTTCGGGTGGGACGTCCTAATGCGACGAGTTTAGAATTTTATTAAACGATCTTCGAATTTTATTAAACATAAAGGTTTGACATAAAACGAAAAGAAAATCATATATAGCGAAATGTCAAAGTAGTAGGTAGAGTTACCATGCTTAATACAATTATAATTAACTCTGAAAAAAGTGGTGGTACTGCCACAGTACTCCCTTCTAGTTGGGATCTGCAGCGGTGTAAGCATTCTTCAAGCGCGGATTATTTGTTGCAACCGAGCAACGAATTTCACTCTCATTATCTGGTATAGGACAGTCGATGAAGAATTTGGATGAGAAGTGTAGCGTCGTCACAAAAACTAACTCGGCCGGTGGTGCTCCAATATCCGGTTTGAAGGAGCAGCGTAGTCCCAAAAGAATTATCGGTAGGAAATTTGTGCAATGTTCCTTGTCATGACAAAGTATGGCTGACTTAAAGGTTCGGTGCCAACGTTAGACGGTCCCGTTGGTTTGGGGATGGTAAGGCGTAGTTCGTGGGTGCTTGATACTGATACATTGAAGTAAATGTTGAAAAAGTGTACATTCAAATTGGCGCCCTAGGTCTGACGTTATGTCGGTGGGGACTCCAAACCTCGATATCCAGCCGCTAATTAATGCTTTATCTACTGCTGGTGCGGTGCTGTCTGGAAACAGTAAACAGTAGCAATTACTCTCGGACAGCGGGAACGGTCCCGCGATGTCAATGTATTAATGGGTGGAGGGTTCGCTAACGCCATTCGGCGTTGCAGAGGAGCGACGTTGTGTCTGGTGAACTTCGACTGTCGCGATGGATTCCGGGCCAGGCGAAACGCTCGCTCATCATCTTTGATGTTGTACGTGTACCGGGGTGCGAAATGTTGTGAATTGTCCGAAGTACTGCTTGGCGGAATCGTTTGGTGATGAACGGTCGGATGCGATCCATCGAAATATCACAGTACACCTGTTTTTGTGATAGAACGAAGAGCATACGAAATTAGTTTTAATGAATGCTTCACTTGCATATTGAGATAGTATAGAGCTCTTCGTCTGTCACTTCATCGGTGGCTAAGTCGTTGTAGTTGATTGATTGAAGAGTTGTTTCCGATGTTATTGCTTCGATGCGAGACATCATATCGGCAACAACATTTTGTTGAAAAGGCACGTGACGGATGTCTGTGGTGATTTGGGCGAAAAAGTAGAGTTGTCGAGCCTGACGGTCCGAAGCTGTTTCTAGTTTTTGATGAAGTGCGAATGTGAGAGATTTGTGATCTGTGTGGACGTGCCATTCCTTTCCTTCAAGCATAAAACGAGAATGTCGGATCGCGAGATACATAGATGAGAATTTCCTGTCGTAAGTTCTGTATCGTTGTTCTGCTTTTGTCAATTTTCGCTGGAAGAAACGAGGAAACGCCTTTCATAGTCTTGACACGATTTGGTAATGGTTGTATGCCGTCTTGGGTGATAAGATGCCCAAGGAATTCGAGTTTCGGTACTCCGGGTATAGACTTTGCGATGCTTATTGTCAAATTGTGATCTCGCAATCGTTGAAATACACTTTGAAGGTCTTTACGGTACCCCTCCGTCGAGGTAGAAGCTATGCAGTTGCCATCGAAGTAGACGAATGTACTATCTAAGTCGCGAAGGACTTCATTTATGACCTTTTCAAATGTCTGTTGCGGCGTTGCGTAATCCAAAATCATGTGAGTGAACTCGTACAGTCCGAAAGGGGTTGTAATGGCCGTTTTGCATACATCTTTTTCATGTATACGGATTTTGTGAAAAGCTTTCTGTATGTCGATTTGTGAAAAGATGGTTTTGCCTGATAATATGTGCGTGAAGTAGTTTAGAAGCGGATTTGGGTACCTGTCCGGTACAGTGACAGCATTAAAGGCACGGTAATCACCACAGAACCACAGATATGCGTACCATAGGCAGGGGGCACTATAGTCACTACTAGACGGCCGACATATGCCAAGTTTCATTAAAAGCTCGGATTCAGAACGTACGTGAATGAAGATGAGGAATGCGCCGCGACCTCCGGTGGACAACTGCAGATTTGTTGAAACTTCTAGAGGAGGTTGACAACTGTAGATTTTGTTGAAACTTCTAGAGGAGGTTGATAGTTATTTCCGGAAATTTTAATAAAATATCGGAAAATAGGATATTTACGTTGATGGTTGAAATATTCGGTATATTAATTGACTTTATAGAGCACATTGTTTTTAACGCGGTGTGGCGGAAAAGAAAATCATACATAGCAAAATGCCAAAGTAGCAGGTAGGTTACCATGCTTAATACAATTATAATTAACTCCGAAACGAGTGGCGGTGCCGCCACATATAGATATATATTCTTAATCTGTACATAAAACCTCCTCTATCAGTATATACGCCTTTTAACTCCCAAATCCTAGGATTTCACACTGGGATCTCTACAGTAAGGTGGGCCGATTCCGGACTTTTTTCGATTCGGGATTTCTAATAGTGCGGAAAAGTTGCCTTAGTACTTCCTGATTTCGATGCAACTTTTTTTTTTTTGAGATCGGGTGCATCTTCAACCCCAACTCCGGCCTTGAAATTTCGGAAATTCGCCTAAAATCGTGAAATTGTTTACCTAGCGCCTGAAATACGCATCTCATGGCAAAATGTATAAAGCAAAAGTTATTTGTCACGTCATTTGATACCGAAATGGTATATGTGATCATGGCCGTAGCACGAACCGTTCCCGAGATACGAGCGAAAATGCGGCGCGCCACAGCGCAAGGTGAAAATCGGCTTGCGGGCACACTTCTTGACGTTGATTTCGTAAAGTGCTATCACTCACATTCATTCACCTACGCCAAAGGACACGTTCGGATAGGTCTCCACACAAATATTTTTTCATCGAGCTCCTTCAGTCTTGTCGGTGATTTCGCCGAGTTCTATCACTTACATTCATTTCCCTGCGCTATACGACACGTTCGGACTGGTCTCCACACAAATATTTTTTCATCGAGTTCCTTCACTCTTGTCGTTGATTTCGCCGAGTGCTTTCACTTATATTCTCTCAACAGAACACAGAACTCAAAATGTCTCTATCGAAATTTAAATTTAGACAGAAATGTCTTGTGTTTGGCATATATCCGTACAATCTCTCTGAGTCCCAGTTACCTACTTACCAGAATGTTCTTTTTTGTTATCAGTTTGAAAGATTTCGTATAGGGCGACTCTGAGGCGGCAACTATGAACCTAGGAGTAAAGAGGTTACAGAAATAGTTGCAAAAAAGGTTGAAAATACTTTCAAAAAGTCATCTATTCCGATAGTTT